ATAAAAGATATTAAAACTTTTTTTTATAAATTTGATAGTTTAACCAAAAAGCTATTAAATGTATAAAAAATTTTTTTTAGTTTATTTTATTTTAAAAAAATTATAAGACTTTAAAAATTTTATAGTTAAAAGTTGATAGCTTTTCATGATAGCCACTGTAGTATATTTTACAACTACTTTTGAATTAACTAGCCTGCTTTAAAACACTTAACATTTCTTAAAAGTAAACCTAAGTAATTTCTGTAGTATTTATATAGATAATAAATTCTTGTTATTTAATAGATATGATGTACAACCTGTAAATTACATAATTAATATTAAACTTCTAGTTAGTATTTTATACTTTTCTATATAAAGAATTTTGACTACTTATTTTAGTAATCAAATTGATCTTTTTTTTCTATCATTATCAATCTTTTTTTTTAAAAAAAATGAGAACAAAAAATAGAAATGTTATACCAACTAAAGCTGAAGTTCTTGAATTGCAAAGCTTTTATATGTAGAGAATACAGACAAGTGTACCTCTAAGTGGCTATGCTCTGTTGACAGGTTCTGCAAAACCTTAAATTATGAAAAAAGAATTGAGGAAATAGAGTCACTTGCAGAATTAGATGACTTTTTGTACAAGTTTCTTATCTGGCTAAAATGGCTAAATGGAAAAGATTACAAAGCAGAAAGCATTTGTAATTGCTACACTTCTGTGGCCTGTTATTTAAAAGAACACAGCAAAATTAAACTGTGTAAGTTATGGGATTCATACTATTTTAATAAGGTGTAAAATAAAGAAATTGCAAAATGAAGGTTTGGAGAAAACAGATCAAACCTCACTATTAACTGCTAAAGAAATATTCTCAACTACGAATCAATGGAAGTTGGAACTAATGAAGAGTTGATACAATGAGTGTTTTTTTAGTTGTTGCTTCTCTGTGGTCTCCATGATGGTGATGCTGAAAGAATTAAATTCAAAGATATTTCTCATCGAGATGATGGTGGGCTTTATCTTACATTTAATCATGAGAAAAACAATCAATATGGGGCTTTAAAACAAAACAAATATGAAAAAAGCTCTGCAAGAAAAATACTTATTCCTCCAGATCAAGTGAATAATCACTTTAAACCAATTGAGGATATTTTGTATTTGATTTCTTTTCATCCTGTTTATGCTTGTGATTCATTTTTCTTGAAAACAACATGGGCGGCAAGGGTTTAAAGTGCTGTTTTTTTGATTTTGATCTTGTAATACTATTTTTACTGATTTTTTTTTTTTCTTACAGATATGAATAAAGAGATTTGGTTTAAGAAATCTAAGATAAGAACAAACAAGTTGAATACCATAATGCCAAAAATTGCAGAACTTACTAGTATCAATCTTGACAATGGTCATAAGGTTTGCAACCATTCACTACATCGTACCGCGATTCAACGGCTTAAGGACTTGGATGTTCTTAAAGATGAACATATGGTGTTCTCTGGCCATCGTAGTAGAGAAGGAATTAGAGTATATAATAGTCCAAATGATGACCAGAGGCTTAGGAATACGTCATTATTAATCCCTTTGAATTTTGATGATATTCCTTATGAAAAGTTTACTTACTTTCCCAGAAACACAAAAACTACTTGGATTTTGAAGAAGAAGAATATGATAAAGGTGATTACATTTTATAAATTAGATTTTACATTATTATACATTTTTAAATTTTAATTAGTGGCTTGTTTTTTTTAGCACCTCCACAAAAAAAAATCCACAACCATCGCATGAATCATCACCACGACTTTTGCATAAATCATCGATGAAAATATTGTATGAATCATCACCAGGAACATCATATGAATCATCACAGGAACATCATATAAATTATCACTAGGAACATTGTATAAATCATCGCCGGGAACATCGCATGAATCATCGCCAGGAATATCTAATAAATCATCACTAGGAATATCAAATAAATCATCGCGGGAACATCAAGCCAAGAACATCATCGGTACTATCAAAAAGGCCACCAATATGATTACAGCATAATTTCAAAAAAATATATACACCATTTAAGGCGCCTTATAAATAATTACAAGATCTAGGTTCTGATGGTTCTCAAATATCAAAAAAAAAAGCATTCACATATCCCTAGGCTTTCTTCTACAAAACCTTCAGCACAATTAAGACCGGCTCTAAATGATATTTCTAATCATTTTTACCTATTACTTACCAAGACATTAAAGATTTAAATGATAGTTATTCAAATCAAAAAGAAATTCACTATCATTTTCATTATCACTTTTCATGTGGTTTTTTTTTTTTTTTTTTAACATTTAAATGTTTTTTTTTTTTTTTTTTATTTGAACGAACAATTATGTAAAATAGAATTGACTGAATAAAAAATGCTTTTAATAACAGAAATTTTGGTACAAAAAAATTAGTTTTCTAGCGAATTTTAAGACCAATTTTGTGAAGGTTGTCATATCAGTCTATATGAAAATCATGTGATTTTCATATAGACCGATGAACACGGGTTGTTACATAGTACCCATGGAATAATTCAAGAAATCGGCTACACTACGAGCCCACAATGTGGAGGTGTAACATGGTTAACTGATTGCATGACACTATACACTTTAACTACTGATCAATATAACATCATATCCACCAAACTGGAACTTGCTTCAATTCGCAGAAAAAAATACATTACTTACACGTTTCTTCATGTGCTACAAACCAGTACTTCTAATCATTCGCCATCTTCTATAGGAATAGAATTTTTTGCATTCTGAAGAGTGTTTATAAAATTATCTACTTCACTTTCTTTGTTATTAGTCCGCTCTCCAGTTTCTAATCATTATAGAGAGCTGTTACAACATTAATGCTTGAAGGTATGATTATAATCGAAGTTTTAGATAGAGAATTTTTTAGAGAAAGCAAAATTTTGCATTACACTTGATCGTGCAATTGGTTAGTTTTCTATAGAGTACAAATAGAAATTCAAAATTTATAGTTAAGGCCACGCAAAGTTAATTTTTCGTTTTGCATTACATGGATTTCAGAATCATCGGTCGGTCGGTCGGATTTTTTTTTTTTTTTATTCTACAGTAAATAATAGACATATTCACATTTAAGGTCACGCATAGTTGATTTTTCGCTTTACATAGCATGGAATCAGAAAATTGGGTCGGCAATCGAATTTTTTTTTATCAGTTCTATCGGACAATTCCGGAAAACAAGGTCTCTACCGGGCGATATCGGAATAATTTATGGGGAAATTAAATGGCAAAAATAGAACAAAAATTCGAAAAATTGAAAAAATGGGTCGGCGGGTAATGCAAACGAAAAATTTACTTCATATAAATTTATGTGTACTTAAAATAGAATTACAACAAGTTTAGAAACCACTTAGGTGGATTCTAAATGCATTTACGTTAAAATGAAATTTTAAAGTGAATTCGAATATAAATTTTAAAATTATAAACAATTAGGACTATAATTATAATCGAATGTTTGTATTGGACATTGTAAATTAACTGTTGAAAAAGATAATACATTGGCAAAAGTTCTTATCCGAATACTTTGAATCAGAAAAGCAATAAAAGAATTTCACAAAGGTGTTCTTAAAACACAAAAACATTATATAGCGTTCAAAGCAATATCTTGAATTACATAAAATTCTTACAAGCTAGATTTTATATGTTTATTTACATCACTTTTGCCTTTTTACGTTTGCATTAGATGATGCTACTGCATATTATTCATGTGTAATAATTAAATTATTATGTCTTTAACATATTTATAGCTTCTAATAGACTAATTCCATAAATGCATGACTTTAAAGAAAGAATTTCAATTGCAGATTATGCAATTTCGAACAGTGTTTGAAATAATCCACGTGACCCAAACGAATAGTGACTAGTCATTAGTCATTTCGAAGCTTTAAATGACTTAATTGATAATTTAATACCTTTTAACCAATCAAAATGAATTATTTAAAGGCTGTGTGATATCATCGCGAAAACTGGGAACAGAAATTGTAACAAAGACCATACCAGTGGTTTTGCAATGGAGATTATATGCCAAGTAAAAATTTTTTAAGTAACACTTTTATGTATTCGATAAGTTTCATCTAATATGATAGCACTATGGGTTAAAATAATTAAATTCAAAAAAAAAAACTTGCAATTAATGTAAACTAATTAAATTCATGAACAGTTATCATTATAAATGCATTTAAATTTATTTATCACCGGTATGAAATTAATTATGCATAATGATCCAATGACTGCAATCATTTTAAAATGATCGCAGTCATTGGTCATGGGTTATTTCATGACCCAGTCATTTACTGATTTCGAAATCTCAAGAACTTTTTTCGAAATTTGTATTACCATATTCTGGATTCTTTGATTTAAAGAATGGATATTTTTAAGATTTGTTTACAGTATTCATGACAATCTATTTATTAAATAGAAACAAATTCGTTATTAAAGTTTATTATTTATTAAGTTTATTTAGAATTCTGTAGCAACTTCCATAAAAATTTGATTTCTGTGTACATCATACGTATCATTTTAAATCATCTGTACTTGTAAATGTGCAATTTTACGGGTGCTAGGGAAACATTAACCCATATGTGCAGTGTATTTGACGATAACTTAAAAAATTATCCATCCAGGCCCGAATATCTTCTACTGTTAAATTGTGTGTTGGTGCGAAAACTCTAAAAGAAGGACCTCTCAGCTGACTATGAGAAATTTCAGCAACTTAAAATTGCGATTACCGATCTTACTACACTACTGCACTATTGAGTGTTTGATATATTCCTTTATAAATATAACTTGTTATTTGATTTGACACCAATCTTTTCAAATGCTTTATCATGAATTGAATGCGTAAAAAATCAATTATTCTTGTAATTTAAATGCCCAATTATACAACTAAAAGTTTTCATCAAGGTAGCAATATGCGCGGGAGAAACGATTACCTTTGCATTATTATACAGCAAGGAGAAAATTATTTTCTTTAAAATCTCAATAAATTTTAAATTTTAACTTAGATGTTATATAATAAATTGGTTCTGCCGTATAGACGCGTAAGTCTTATGTATTTTATAAATTAGTAGCAAAAGAATTCCAAGTGACGTCAATGTTTTCTTATATTGTAATAAAAAAACCACCCTAGTATCGCTCCAAAATCAGTTACTTACTGTATCTGAATATAAAATTACTTTCGAGTGTTTCAGATATCTTAATATGATGGCTAGGAACGACAGAAAAAAAGCATTTTTGAAATATATATATTTTTTGAATAATAATTATCTTTCCTGAATGGCGATGAAGGATTGGACAATATGTTGCAAGACTTTTTGGTGAATTTAGTGGTTCTAGGTTTTTATCAACCTTATTACTTTACAGAAACCTTGATTTTTAAAAATACAAACAGCATATATCTAACATATAATAAAAGTCTTAGTAAGCTCTGTTAACTCTCTTGTAAGAAACTTATTAATATTA